TTCCAGGGCTTTGATTATGTTGCTGCCTTCATCTGTCACCCACACTATTCGGCTGAGGGAGCTAGGGTCGAGGCCAAATTTGTTGACCAGCAGGCTCACTATCTCGCGTCAGATGTTTTTCCCGTTTTAGCATCCTCCACGGGAAACATGGCTGTGGTGAGATTTTTTTTACCAATTAAAGGGCGGTTGACTACTTTTTTTCTTTGCATGATTGTGTTCATGGGGTGCAATATAACATGTATTCGCGGTTTTTCGTTTTTAAAAAGTCTAAAAGTATTTTTCATAAACTTCATGTTTATTGTCAGCCGCGCTCTCCTCTGTCCTTGAACGAGCGGTTGACTTCCTGAGTCTATGAAAGCACTCCCTCAGAGTCTATGAAACCACTCCCTCAGAAATACGTAGTGGGCTCAGATTGGTTAGCTTGCGCCGGTGTGTTGTGATTGGCTAAACTGTCGCTTACGTTGTCTGGAAAGTTAACGCCCATTACCTTTACGGGCGAAATGGGCACGTCATGAGCTCCGGTCCAGATGTAAATATGCGTCGAACTGCAGTATCAGGTTGAGGCAGAATCAGACCGAGTAAGCCGCGATGAAGAGAGTCAAACAGAACCTCACCACACACGGCTCTTAATAAACGTTTCTGAATGATAATTTGCTACATTTTTTTAACTTTATACACGTTTGTTTTACACAATAGCATCTGATTGGCAACAATAGCAACTGACTGGCTAACGTTATACTCAAACAGCGTGGCATTAGTTTATGTTCTTGATCAAATCGAAAATAACGTCATAAAGCATATATACATGAAAAATATGTTTAAAACTTTAGTACTTATACAAAATTCAGGTCCATAATGTTTGTACGCGTTTGTCGTAGACGCAAAATAGTCAAGTCAAGTCACATTTATTTATATAGCGCTTTTCACAATACAGATTGTATCAAAGCAGCTTCACAGTGGTAACATGAAAGTAGTACAACACAGATCAGTAATATTGCTAAACACTAAATAACCCCAACTGAGCAAGCCAAAAGCAAGGCGACAGTGGCAAGGAACCAAAACTCCATCAGATTGGATGGAGAAAAAACCTTGGGAGAACCCAGGCTCAGTCGGGGGCCAGTTCTCCTCTGGCTTACATTCATATTGTTTATATATAAATATTAAATATAAATATTGTTTATGTATAAAACGGCGGCATAACATATCGCAGGCGTTGAGTTGTCACTTCACAGGCGTTGGTCTTCTCATCACAGGCGTTGGGGCATCCGAAATCCCCGTGAGAGACTAGAGACAAAACTGGACCTGACGAACGCCATTTTTCTCGGGACAAGCGTCCCGAGATAACAGCAGAAAGGCAGATGAGAAATAATTAGCATAGCTGATGTTCATAATGATTTCCATTATACGGGAGTCGGTGTTAGAAACCACTATCTCACAAACTCTCCGTAACCTGAACTCTCCGCAACCCAACCATACGCGCTGACCCGTTTGACTAAGGCTGTCGAGCCCCACTGTCGCGGTAATGCGTTTCAGTGGCAAAAGGTTCCGTATGGCATAACAGAGGACTAAAAGTTAAGCATTATGTGAATGCTTGACTAAAGAGATGCGTCTTTAATCTAGTTTTAAACTGTGTCAGCGAGTCAGAGCCTCGGACCGTATCGGGAAGGCTATTCCAGAGTTTTGGAGCTAAATGCGAGAACGCCCTCCCTCCTTTAGTGGACGTAGATATCCTAGGAATGACCAGAAACCTTGAATTTAGTGATCTTAAGGAACGCAGTGGGTTGTAGGGCGAAAGAAGGTCCGTTAAGTACATAGGAGCTAAACCATTTAGGGCTTTATAGGTCAGTAGTAGTATTTTGTAGTTGATACAGGACTTAAGAGGTAACCAGAGATGATAAAATCGGTGTTATATGATCATATTTTCTTGACCTAGTAAGAACTCTAGCAGCTGCATTTTGTACTAACTGTAGCTTGTTTATTGAGGATGCAGGACAACCGGCTAATAAAGCATTACAGTAATCTAGTCTCGAGGTCATGAATGCATGAACTAAGTTTTCTGCATCAGAAACAGATAGCATGTTACGTAGCTTAGCAATGTTTCTAAGGTGGAAAAAGGCTGTTCTTGTAACATATGAAATATGATTTTTGAAAGACAAGTTGCGGTCTAGTATAACACCCAGGTCTGTTACTGTAGTGGATAAAGTAACAGGACATCCGTCTATATTAAAGTTGTATTTTGAGAGGTTTTGTAAGTAGTTTTTTGGACTAATAAGTAATACCGCCGTTTTATCTGAATTTAATAGCAGGAAATTACGCGTCATCCAGCATTTTATATCTTTGAGACACTCTGTCATTTTAGATGAGTTAGTGTTTTCATCTGGTCGTGATGAAATATATAATTAAGTGTCGTCAGCGTAACAGTGGAAATTAATTCCATGTTTTCTTATAATATTACCAAGTGGCAGCATATATATTGAGAATAGCAGAGGGCCTAAAACCGATCCTTGCGGTACTCCATAGTCTACAGACGTTATCTTTGATTTTTTTCCCATTTAAACAGACAAAATGATAACGGTCCGATAAGTACGATCTAAACCAGCTTAATGCCTGTCCCTGAACACCAGTGTAGTTTTGTAGTCGATCCAAGAGTATTTTATGATCTATAGTGTCGAACGCAGCGCTAAGATCAAGTAGGACTAGTATTGAGATACAGCCTTGCTCAGAAGCTAAAAGTAAATCATTTGTAATTTTAACTAGCGCAGTTTCTGTACTATGATGCGGTCTGAATCCTGACTGGAATTTTTCATAGATATCATTTTCTTGCAAAAAAGAGCACAATTGAGCGGACACGACTTTTTCTAGTATTTTGGACATAAATGGAAGATTTGAAATGGGTCTGTAATTTGCTAAGTTATTTGGATCTAATTGCGGTTTCTTAATGAGAGGTTTTATTACTGCCAGCTTGAATATTTTTGGAACATGACCTAAAGATAAAGACGAGTTAATAATATTGAGGAGAGGCTCTTCCACTACAGGTAATAGTTCTTTCAGTAGTTTAGTGGGTATTGGATCTAATAAACATGTTGTTGGTTTAGATGCAATGATAAGTTTATTTAGCTCCTCCTGTCCTATTGTTGTAAAGCGTTGTAGTTGTTCTAGAGGGGCCATAATTGAAGCTGAATCATAAGACACCATAGAGGATTGTACATTTATAATTGTGTTTCGGATGCTTTCTATTTTCTCATTGAAGTAATTCATAAAATCATTACTACTAAACTGTAATGGTATATTTTGCTCTGGTGATGTCTGTTTATTTGTTAGTCTAGCCACGTGTTAAATAAAAACCTTGGATTATTTTGGTTATTTTCGATTAGTTTGCAGAGATGCTCAGCCCTGGCTGTTTTTGGTGTCTTTTTATAACGTGACATACTGTCTTTCCACGCGATTCTAAAGACCTCTAAATTAGTTTCCATTTACGCTCTAAGTTGCGAGTTTCTCTCTTGATAGCATGCGTAGCACTGTTGTACCATGGTGCTTTAGTTTTCTCTCTAACCTTTTTTAATCTAATTGGTGCAACAATGTCTAATGTACTAGTGAAAATGGTGCTCAAACTGCTAGTCATTTCCTCTAATTCATCTGTTTGTTTGGGTTCACTTAGCAGCTTAGATAGATCAGGTAAGCTATTTGAGAATCCATCTATAGTGGTTGGAAGGATTGTTCTGCCTGGTCTATAACGTGGCGTAACATGACATATTTCAGCAGTACGTATTATGCAAGTCACCATGTAATGATCAGTGACATCATCACTTTGCGGTATAATATCTATATCAGTTTGAATGGTTCCATATGATATAATTAAATCTAGTGTATGATTTAGATGATGAGTGGGACCACTGACGTTTTGTTTGACTCCAAAGCAGTTCAATAAGTTTGTAAACGCAGCCCCTAAAGCATCATTTGTATTATCTACGTGTATGTTAAAATCTCCAAAAATTATTGCTTTATCGACATTCACCAATAGATCCGAGAGAAAGTCTCTCGGATCTTTAATACAGTTTATTGAACATCACACAAAAAATGAAGCGTCAGTTTTCAGAAAATCACCGTAAGAGCTGAGTAAACACAGTAAGTTTTAAGAAGTGCACAAGTTGAGGGAGCATTCCTGTGGGCGGACGTTAGTCAAAAAACTGTTCTACTGACGTCATTAAAGAAAGAAGTAGAGGGATGTAGTCCAAACGGCCGTTCAACGTAGGCTACTTAAATAAAATATCTCGCTTGGCATTGAGCTTTATAATTTTACATATATTATTTATACTCTAACAACAACATTACACACTAACTAAAGTTTGAAACAGGGGATCACGAAGAACAGGACCTTTAAAATATACTAAAATTATTTCTAAATTATTTGGGAGATTTTTTTTTTTCAATTGATTGACAGCACACAATTTTTTTTTAAGTGGTTATCTACTATATTTCTAAGTCTTGAGGCAGTACAATAGTTATTTTGTAATGAACACAGGACATTTTAGTCTAACAGTTACAGCACCATAAAAGTGGTCTATAGACCACTAGGGAAGCTTGATATCCCTATTTTACTGTCATTATGTTGAAAAGAGTGGCCATGATATTCTGCAAAAAAGAGTTTTAGTTTCTCTTTATTGATGAAATGTCTTATTGAAAATTTATTGTTACCATTTATTTTTATTTATTCAGTAGTTTATTCATTCATTGATGTATTCATTCAGTCTTTCGTTCATTTATTTTTTCATTAATTTATTTACATAGGGTATGTTCTTGCAGACTGATCCTCAAACAGCAGTTATATGAGTACTTTTATATTAAAATTATTACAATATTGAATGTTATTGAATAATGTTCCTTTTGATATGTGTTGTATTTTAATATATTTCAATATTGTAAGCAAATTATTTTTACACTGATTTTTCCTGTTTTATTTCTCCTTTTCTCCTCCCTCACTTTCTGGGACTGCTTTCCAGTCGGTTACCACGGAAACAAGGCTCGGTGTTGTATTGTACGACGGGCATTATTCTTCAGTGGCTCCGCTCAGATACGTAAGTGTTCCAAACCTCTTTTCCTCCACTCCTTTCTGCTGTTTCATTATTCCATTCCCCCATCCTCTGTCTGCTTTGGCTCTTCTTTTTCTTTCTGTAAGAGATGCCGGTGTTAAATCAATACACAGCTCGTGTACAGGGCACACACATGCACTTATACATACTCAAAGCAATGTCAAACATAATTGCACATACATTCAATATCACTCTCTGACTCATTCACTCACATCAACCCTGCTTCATCAGATGCAGAGTGGAGATGCCTAAAGTACCGTTCACCATGCCTCTTAGTTTGACTCATCCTGTCAGACAGCTTTCACCGCAACCCATATATAATATAGAAAACACATTATGTACTAGGGATGTCCCGATCCGATCACATGATCGGAAATTGGGCACGATCACGTGGTTTCAGACTCGATCGGAATCGGATGTTACCTCCCGATCAGGACTCGGGTATACATATAACGCATTTTCCGCACTATATTATAAGGCGAACTTAAAAGCCTTTAATTTTTTTACATTTTTTAATTTTTTTAATTAAACATCTTATGCCTGCTTTGTCACACGGCCAGTTCAACCTGGTATAAATCAGGTTATGTGCGTCTCCCGCTCACGAGCGCTCACTCTAACAGACACACGAACAGACACACTGTCCCCGGCGCTGCTCGCGTGTCACAGAATGTAGCGCATAAAGCGCTCCCCGTTCACAGTAACCGGGTCTCATTCAAAACAGCCAGCTGTTGCTGTCCGGCGTGTCCGTTTTTATTTCGGCTCCCATGTTAACAGGTTAGAGCTTGCACACTGCCTGAGTGACACGCGCATATCAGGTGCACATGAGCCGCGTTGGAAGTGTTTTCTGGGTAAAATAGAATAGGAAAATATGTTTATATGTTATTTTGTACACGAATACATATTGATAAATTAAATGTTGATGGTTGAAGTCTAGGTTTTTGACAAATTCTGATATAAATATAATTTAAAAATAAATATCAATTTTCAAATATTGCAATACAGATCTATACCTTTCTTTTAGGGTTGTAACGGTATGAGATTTTCACGGTATGATAATCATCTCAGAAAATATCACGGTTTCACGGTTTCACGGTATACGATATTAAACATCATTATTATAATCATCATCAGCTACAATGGCCCTTAAATGAATAAAAACAGATATGGTTTTTGGTTGAACATGGTTTACAAAGTTTTTTTTTCAATAGAGTCTTTATGAAATGTATATTTATTTCCTCAGAAATTCTGGGTTGTCTGAAATAACTGGTCTGGATTCTGTGATTGAATACAAAATGTATTTTTGAAAATGCAATCAGATAAAATGTAACAACTTTAGTTTGTCTACACAAGAGAGGTTAACTAAATTAAAACATGGACAAAAAAAACTATACACAATAGTAATATATTTTAGTCATTATTTTAGTCATAGGCTAAACCAAACTCTTTTTTTTACAGGTTGTACTGAACACCTATGAGTTTCAGTTAGGGTGCATTTACACTGCAGGTCTTGATGCCCAAATCCGATTTTCTGACTATATCCGATTTTTTTGACGACCTGCTTACATTATAATATCTTTTAAAAGTGACCCATATCCGATTTTTGCATTTACACTATACACTGCTGAGGATACTGTGGAGAATAAAAGAGGAGAGACACTGCCACGAGCACTTAAAACTATGCCTCTCGTGAAATGTCTTCAAATACGGATTTATTTCTGTAACAACCCTGCATTTTTGCCGGCACTCTTCACCCCAAACACTCAAAAGACATGAAACCTCCGCATCCACTGTGTGTATCCTTTCTTCTGACGTACGACTCGCATTTACTGTGGGGAATATCCGATTTGTCTGCTTACATGGCACACGCAAATGCACGTATCTGATTCATATTCGATTTATTACCACATTTGAATGAGGCCTGAATCCAATCTGAGAAAGTCGGAATCCATGCGTTTTTTTCCTGCTTACGCGTTCACCGGTTATATCCGATCTGTGCCACATGAGAGGAAAAAATCGGATTTGGGTCACTTGAAACATGCAGTGTAAACGAGGCGTGTATTTGATTATTCTTTTAAAAAACAATTATAAAGTGCACATTAAGTGTTCTCTGTCTGGATATGTTCATGTGTTCACGTCTTCACATGGGTGAGACAGCTTTAAAAACCATGAGCGTCATGCGTACTTGAGTGTGTACTAGATCTACTAGACGAAACGGCGCTGCTCATTCATACAGAGACGCGATGAATATAGAAGGGGCTTGCACACCAGTCTTTTTGCGTTGTATATTCACAGACACGCACATCGCGATTTGATTTAGGCTACTGCACAGCTATATTTTGATTTATTCATCCATCTATCTTTTTAAATCGCACATTTTACATGGCATCGGTTTTGTAACGCAAAAAAAGACGGGTGTGCGTCTTTTTGACAGACCGGGATTCCCTCAGCATGACAGAAATAATATGGCCTTACGTTATAAAAGTTATGAATAACCTTTATCTTCACGGAGGGAAGATGTTTCTGAATATGGGAGAACATGTTCGACGTGTTTACTCCTTTTACAGCCACTCTTCGTCCACATATCTTGCAAACTGGATATCCATCTTCAAGGAAAACACCACGATCGTTTTTCGGATATAGTACAAAATATTCCCATACTGCAGATTTTATTTATTTTTTCGGCGGGAGATAGAGCTTTGCAGCCTCTGTCTCGGACATTTTCAGCGCTGTACAGGTAAGCAGTCAAGCTGAAAGAAGTTGCATGCTGCAGTGCAGGTGAATTCTGTTTTTTTTTTTTTTTTTACCGCGGATAAGCAAATGTGCACGATATGATAATCGTACATGTCAATATCACGATAAACCGTCATACCGGTATACCGTTACAACCCTACTTTCAGTATCTGTCTATAGGGCATTTCAGAATGTTTGTAATAGGCACCGCGATACTTCCGGGTGGCAGAACGCGAGCGGCTTCTATTGACTAATTAAAGAGATCCAGCCGGCAACTGAACAATTACATAATTAAAATCATTGTTGTT